CGCCACCGTCCACCTCACCCCCTCTACCCCACACACCCCCACGCTTACAATTCTCTACATCTCTATCTATATATACACTTGTATGTCAACTCTATTACTCATTCTTCTCTTCTAAAACCATTTTCTTTGCTCATATATTACAACAAAACAAAGGAAAGTTCATTGTTTTATATCAAAGAAAGGTTTTTGTAGCACCCCAATTACAAAAAATGGCAGCTGCATCAGTTAATACAACAATTTCAATGCTTGACTCCAACATGGAAACTGATAAGCTCACGTACGAAATTTTTTCCATTCTTGAAAACAAATTCCTCTTTGGCTATGATGATATAAAAACTTCAGACAAAAATTTATCAGCTCCGTTCGCCGGAAACAAGAATGTCGGCACCGGAAAAGTCAGAATTTTGACAATTGATGCTGGTGGGTCCACTGATGGTGTCCTCGCCGGAAAATCTTTGACCCACTTGGAAGATACCCTTCGCCAGAAATCGGGAAAACCAAATGCTCATATTGCTGATTTTTTCGATGTTGTCGCTGGTTCCGGCGCCGGCGGTGTACTCGCCGGTCTTTTGTTCACACGTGGGAATGATGGGGTTCCTATGTTTACTGCAAAGGAAGCTCTTGATTTTGTTGTCGAGAATGGTCGGAAAATTTCCCGGAGTTTCAAGACTGGAGTTTTCCGGCGATTTTCCCGACCGGCGAAGGTGTTTCGGAAAGTATTCGGGGATTTAACGTTAAAAGATACGATGAAAGCAGTTTTAATCCCATGTTACGATCTTACTACTGGGGCGCCATTTGTTTTTTCGCGCGCTGATGCGTTGGAAATGGATGGCTGTGATTTCACGATGGCTGATGTATGTGGGGCCACGATGGCTGATCGTGCGGTGGATATAAAGTCTGTTGATTGTAGGACGAAGATCACAGCCGTTGGTGGTGGAATTGCGATGACTAATCCAACCGCTGCAGCTATTACACATGTCCTCAATAACAAGCAAGAGTTCCCATTTGCTAATGGAGTTGAAGATTTGTTAGTAGTTTCTTTGGGAAATGGAGATTCAGATTCCGGCACCGGAAATGTGATGTCGTCGCCGGCGGCATTCGTTAAGATTGCCGGAGATGGAACTGCCGACATGGTATGTCTTCTTGGTTCATGCAAATTATTTTTAGTATTTTAATCAATTGAAGGAGTAGTAATAATTGCTATCTTTAAAATACTTCCTAATTAGAATAGTAGGTATTTTGGAATTAATGAGATTTATTGATTAAAAACCTTTCTTTTGGCATGGGACCTCACATTATTTAATGGCATTTAGATAAAAATAGTACACATTAAATGTTTCAACAAGGTCACCTAACTTTTGTATTATAAAATTAGGAACTTTAGTTCGCAATCTTTTTTATACTGTAATAAATTTTGTCTTGACTTGATAATATTCCATGTACGGACAAAGGCTAATAATTTTTTATGCGAAAAAAATGCAGGTAGACCAAGCTGTATCAATGGCATTTGGACAATCTAGGAAAAATAACTATGTACGAATTCAAGGAAATGGAATTGTTGGGAAGAGAAATCAAATAATTAAAGAGGAAAACATAAGCAAAGGTGAAAGAATGAGGAAAATGGTGGTCATTGCAGAGGAAATGTTAGGGCAAAAGAATGTGGAATGTGTCTTATTTCAAGGGAAGAAGTTGGTTGAGAATTCAAATTTGGACAAGTTGAAGATAGTTGCAAGTGAATTAATCAAAGAGCAAGAAAGGAGAAAAAACAGCATATTACCCCCTGTGATCTTGAAACATGCACCATCATCTCCTAGAACATCTTCTGCAACAACTCTTTCATCCAATTCTTCATGTTAACTCCAACAATCAGTAATTATTCGGTGAAATAGTTGACGTACGCGCAAACAATTGTGATAGAGTCGACGTGTGCGTAAACTAATTCAAATATCAAAGGACTAGTAATTACTAGGATAGACAATTGTGAGCTTGAGGTTAGTCAAACCGAATTGAATCGAGCTAAGTCAATGTCTTGAAACATGAGTGTGAAGCCACTCGTGATGAATTTAGGACGTCCGAGTTTGAGCTGAGCTGCTAGAATTTCCCAAAAAATTATTTGTTTCTCGTTTTATGATTTTTTTTATTTCAGCTCTTGGGTTGATTAGTAGTTGAAATGTATATTTAGGAATGAATCTTGATGAATGTTTATATGTATATGATTTCAGTAATATGAATGGATTGCTCATAAGAGGGACTTGCTAGATCAAATTCTTTCATTTAGGGATGTCACCGACAAGGGTTAACAGTAGGGTACAAAGAAAACTGATAAACCGTATCAAATCGATAATTCGAGTTAAATCGGAAAAAAAAATATGATATGGTTTGGTTTGATTTGGTTTGGTATTGGAAAATAAAATCAGACCATAATTGGTTTGGTTTGGTTTTAACTAAAAAAAGTCAAAACTGAAACTAAACCAACCCGATAGTATATTTATATAATTTTTAAAAATATTTTATACATATAAATATTTATTTATTTCTTAAACTTTTTCACAATTTTATCTTTTAACGTATTAATTAGATTCTTGAATGGTAAATAAATTTTATGGCCCATAAATGTAGTAACTTAAACAAAGTTCAAATCAATACTATTGTTAATAAAAGAAATTCAATTCAATACTAGGAATGACGATAGTGTTGTATAATTATTTTAGTTTTATATTGGTTTATAATGAAAATGTATAACTTAGCTTATCTTTTTCTTTAGTGCTTAGTTATGTAATTAATATTAGTACTTATTAGCAATACTTATTTTAGCATGACTTATATAGTATTTTTAGATTATGTTAATTTTTATTATGGCTTATTAATTAGCAATATTTGTTTTATGTAATTTTATTATTTTATATTTGTTATTGAATATTTTTAGTATAATGCTATGACTTATCTCATATTATTGTGTTAGTTTCTTAAAAAACACATTATATAGTTATATTTTACTAGGACCTAAGAAATTTTTGGATCACAAGTTATATATTTTATGTTATGAAGACTTTACCGGAAAAAAACCCGAAAACCCGAAAAAATCCGAAAAATCCGAGAAAAATCGAGATTGAAAAACCCGACTTTGCTGGTTTGGTTTGGTTTATAAATTTAAAAATTCGATACCATTAGTTTGGTTTGATAATTGAAAAATCCGAACCAACCCGACCTATACACACCCCTAGTTAACAGTATTGTTGCTACAAATTATATATGACCAAACTAGTCCCATTTACGATAATTTAAACTTGATAATTGTGTATGACACTTGCATTTTTATAACTGTGGTATTCGGGTTAGTTTACGCGTAATTCAATTGACGGGTTAACTCTATCCCACCAATAGCTCTGTCCACAGATAATTTTGCTAAATTTTACTCACGGACCGATCTATATGGGAAGGTTGGGTTCACGTGAATCCATTCTCCCCTCCCTAAATTATGTATATCACTTATATTTTTTGATTTTGTTCTTAAATAAGCATGTGTGAACCCATGCTCAAGTGAGCACTTTGGCTCATCGGTCAATGAGTGCACATTCGCCCCCAAAGTTAGGGGTTTGATCCTTACTTACTCCTTTAGACTTTTTGATTAAAAATATTTTTATATCTTTATTGTTTTCTTTTCTGATTACTCGGACTTAATTTGTTCTTTAAAAAGAAAATTTTCACTAAATTATTTCATAAAATGTGATATTGTGATACCATCTTTTACTCTTGGAGATTATCACTGATAATAGTAGTTTGTAAGTGGTCTCTAAAAAAGAGAACTTCTATCTCAAAAAGTTTACATTTTGTCAAGAAATGAAGTACCAAAAAAAGATAATAAAATTAATCTTAAACTCCTACTATAATCAAAAACTAATAATGCAAATCAAATATCTACATGGAAATAAAAGTACATAAAAAGATATACATAATAGGACGGATGAAGAATTTTTAATACTTTTTAGCTTGCTATATATAACGTAAGATATTAAAAACAGTAAGTAATAATGTTATTATTGATAGTTTTTAAAGTATAAAAAACCGTCGAGGATATACATAATGCTAATAATATTAACTAGAGTTTCTCCATCAACTTTGGTCATTGTAAAAAAATTTATATTGTCAAATCATATATTTATTTAAAGATAGTGGTGCACCCATGCTCATAAAATTCTGAATACGCCTCTACTTTTACTCCCTTAATTCGCATAAAAACACATTGTATATGGGTAAACTCAGGGCCAGCACACATCCCGAGTTCTCGGTGAGTCAAACAAAGTAACAAGTATTATTGTATGAAATAGACACCGAATCTGAGAACTCTTTGAATCGAAACTGGAACGGGGTACTCGCCACCGGGCCTGACAAGACAATACCCCCGAACCCGGAACGAGCTCCAAGACCTCGAAAAATACTACAAATGATTGCACACGACTAACGAAAGGTCGTGATATCCGCGCCCAACCGGATATCACAGTACGGATCTCGCCTGATGTCGGTAGCGTATCAGTGATTGATCTACAAAGAGGATTTTTATTTTTTCTTTAGAGTTGTACTAGGGGTAAAACTCTCCTACTATATAAAGGAGAAGTTTCTTATTCAATAGACACATGGTAATACACATGTCAAGGCAATACAAACTTACTTCTCTACTTTCTAGCTATTGAACAGTTCTTATTTTAATCAAAGTTTACCATACACATTTGGCTTCGAATCGAGGGTTCGGTCGAGGACAAAACTACTGTTAAGCTTAAATCCGAGCCCGGACTCAACGTCACAATTGGTTTGGTTATTTATTTCATCTCTAATTCGTTTATCTAACCTTCTTGATTAGTTGTGTTGAACCAATCCACATATCCTTAAAACTACGTACAAATTTAATTGTTATCCGTTTTAAGGGTAAACAGTTTGGCACCCCTCGTGGGGCTAAAGATAATAGTGGTGGTTTGATACAAATATCCATAACACACTCTATTTTACACTTGTTCTTTAAGGTCTCAATTTCAGATCAGTTTAAAAATGTTAAATTCTCAGTCTGCTCACTTGAACGTTAAGGCTGAGTCTGGCCATCATGGTGAAAACAACAATTTTGTGCCTAGCAATGAGGTGCCCCCTGCTGTCCCCAACAGAGTTCCAGTTACAGACCCAGTCGACGCTAACTCGCAGGTGGCCATCGACGCTAACCTGCCTACCGACCCCAAGAACAGCGTTCGCGGGGGAGCCCGACCAACGGATCGAAGAGTGCCCAAAGGCGAAGGTGATAGGGTTAGTCTACGATTGATCTTCAAAATGTTGCAAGCTCAACAAACGGCGATAGCGCAGCTGCAATATCAAAGTCGCGTCCCCAGCAGAGTTGAGCCCGAACTATCTTGGGAAAACACCCAAAGAAATGAGCAGATCACCGAAAGACCGGGTGAAACCGAGCCCGGTGTCAGCCCTGAAGTAATAAAAATGTTTGAAGCATTAACAAAACGGGTGGAATCAGGTGAAAAGATAATTGTGGCAAATGACAAGAAGATGGAGACATATAATTCCCGGGTCGATCAAATCCCAGGAGTTCCCCCGATATTGAAAGGCTCGAACTCAAGAAATTTGTCCAAAAGCCTTTTCCTCCGAGCGCGGCAGTGAAGCCAATACCGATGAGGTTTCGTATGCCAGATATTTCAAAATATAACAGAACCACGAATCCGAATGAGCATGTGACCTCCTACACATGCGCCATCAAAGGTAACGACTTGGAAGACGACGAAATCGAGTTAGTGTTATTAAAGAAGTTCGGGAAAACTTTGTTAAAAGGAGCAATGATATGGTACCACAACTTGACCCCAAATTCCATTGAATCGTTCGCTATGCTCGCAGATACTTTTGTAAAGGCTCATCCCGGGGCCATCAAGGTCGAGACCAGAAAATCGGACTTTTTCAAGGTTAAGCAAAGGGACAACGAGATGCTCAGAGAGTTAATGTCAAGATTTCAAATGAAACGGATGGATTTGCCTCCGGTTGCGGATGATTGGTCCGTTCAGACATTCATTCAAGGACTTAACCCTCGATGCTCCTTGGCTTTGCAGCAGCTGAAACAAAATTTGGTAGAGTACCCGACGGTAACTTGGGCCGACGTCCACAACAGGTACCAGTCAAAACTCAGAGTCGAGGACGACCAACTCAGAGCCCCTTCTGGGTCTGTTTATCCCATCAGAACCATCGACATGCCTAAGAGAGTCGTCGATCATGAATCAAGGCCGGTCCGAGATTGGTATCAACCATACAGTGCAAATCGAAGGAGAAACGGGCACGGGCGTAACCCCACGAGGACTTAGAAGGGAAGCGACTGTGGCACCAATAGCCGAGGTCTGATGAGCAAGAATGTTTTTGACAGGATGCTCGGGGGAAGGGAAGCACCAATATTATTAGAGTATAACTTCAACGTTGATGCAACCAGCATTGTATCGTCCATTGGGCGCATCAAGGAAAACAAGTGGCCTGAACCATTGCAGTCTGATCCTACCAAGAGAGATCGTAACCTAATGTGTAAAGTATCATTTCACTTATGGTCACAAGACCAAGGATTTCCGACAATTGAGAGAAGAAGTTGTCCGGTTGTTTAATAACGGGCACCTTCAAGAGTTTCTAGTGATCGAGCCAAAAACCACTTCAGGAACAGGGACTCCAATAAATAGACCGAACAAGAAGAACCTCAGCATGTCATCAACATGATCATTGGAGGGGTTGATGTCCCCCAGGGACCGAGATAAAGCGCACTGAAGTATCCATCATGAGGGAAAAGCGCACCCGAGATTACATCCCGGAGGGAACCATTTCGTTCAGCGACGAGGATGCCAAGGGCATCGTACAGTCTCATAATGATGCACTAGTGATATCCGTACTTATCAACAAATCTTGAGTTAAACGCGTGTTTATTGATCCAAGCAGCTCAACCAACATCATCAGATCGAGGGTCATAGAGCAGTTGTGTTACAAGATCAAATAGTACCAGCGGTCCGGATGTTGAACGGATTTAACATGGCATGTGAAACTACTAAAGGAGAAATAACCCTGCTGGTGAATACCACCAGGATGACTCAAGATACAAAATTCTACGTGATCAAAAGGGACATGAGGTATAACGCCTTATTCAGAAGGCCATGGGTTCACAACATAAGGGCAGTACCCTCAACATTACACCAGGCACCGAAGTTCCCTACGCCGGGAGAAATCAATACG